GATATTTCTACTTTGACCAAGTGGACTCACACACACCGAGAGGAGCACACCAAGTTTCTGGAAGGCAATCATTGTCCGACTGAGGTCAGTTACCAGGCTGGTAGGCCGCTGGGTCTGTCGACCTGTGGGGGGCTATGTAGCAACCTGTTACTGGATGTGCTGCCTCTGAGAAGCCTGTAGAAACATGCAGCGTCATAGCCGGTTGGCGTATGCAGCACCAGTGCCAGTGGATGGAAAGCAGGTGTGTCAAAGAAACATATTCTGATGATGCTCCATTACTTTTGGATTGCCTGTCTTTTTAAAGGGAAAAACAATGGCAAGACCAGCACTTCATGGCAAACAGGAAAACTGCACGGCACTGTTCATGCTTTATGTTTGATAATATCATGAAATATTTTGGTGGAGTTAATTAGGAATTCATATAAGTTTGGAACACAAAAATGAAATACATCATCATCTTTTATTATCAATAAACACATGCCTTATATGAACAACCAGTTAACTCATGACATTGTCCAATGCGTCCTTGGCTGTTTTAAATTATAATCTGATTAGAACTTCTTGATAGTGAAATCTGCAGGCGGCAGGATGTTTAGAAGGGCCGATAGTAAATTTATGGCTGAGTGCTAAAGACACGTCTCTCAACCCCCATCTACCCTCCCCCTTTTGGCAACCTGGAGCAGAAGTGGGGGAAGAGGGGATGGCTCACCTCAAACAGACCTACTATTGACTCAGAGGTCTGAAGACTTACTTTTGCTTTTGACTAACAGTTTGGGTGCAACTTAATAGACCCTCATGCCACCCTTTTTAAACATCGTGAAGAGACCTTTGGACATCACGGGAATAAATTTTGGACAAATAAATTATAACTTTTGAAAACTCCTTTCTCTCTCTCACGCACACATCTCACCTCCCCCATAAAGAGAGATACCTCTAGCCAAAACAGATAAGGCCAAGATGGCCCATTAATCAGCCCTGGTTGAGACCTAATGGCCCCTCACAAGTCTCTTAGCAGAGAGTCCTATGCATCATAGTAGTTTGTCTAGTGTAGTGGGTAACACCTCAGCCTTCTGTGCTGTAGACTGGGGTCCTTGGGCAAGACTCCTAACACTACCTTCGCCTACCTGTGTAAAATGATCAAATTGTAAGTTGCTCTGGATAAGACCATCTGCCAAATGCTGTAAATGTAATTGTAAATTCCTTAAGACTCCTTAGAAACTCTGCTTCATTAAAACTATGAAACACCAGTCTTGATCAAATGACTCTCTTTAATCAAACTGTGAAGAACACCTCTGTTATTGTTAACATGCTGCATTGTCATACAGGAATCGATTAATCCCTGCCAGAGGTGAATTAATACTAAACCCTCTGCACTTAGTAGTTATTTTAATTCTTGAATTGTAACCCTGTTTCATTGATCTAGGTTATTGTGTTGATCTTTGATCATTTGTAACTGTGTTCATTTCATTAATTTTATTCATTTTTCATTTATTTCAGAAACATGCAATCCACGTTTCATAATCAATAATCTTATGTATCTGCTTTTCTTGCAAGTCTTCGTGTAGTGTTATTAGAAGTAGGATTATAAAGTTTGTAGCATGTGTGACCATGTATACTTTAATCATAGTTTCTGCCAACATATCTACAGAAATATTGATGATAGTGTACTCACTTATTTTACTCTGAGTTACTATGTAACTTTTCATTTAAGCATTGTTTAGAAATGGTAGCGTGACATAACTTCGGAATTGTCTTTTAACAGTTTCATTCCTTTGTCTAAGTACTTCATATTAGAGTTAAGGATTCAAATAATTGTACGTAACCATGATATGAAATACAATACAATAGTCACTATGGAAATAGTAATGTTTTATATATGAAATCGCATGCTTATAATTTTCTCTTACTTAGCACACCCCAAATCTCTGATGTATTGTGTGACACTTGAGTAGCAGACAAAGAAATTGCATATTCATTATATGCAACCACACAAACCAACCGAAACCTTTTTCCCCGCCTTAGCTCCGCCTCTCAAAGTTCTTTCCTTAAAGCCAGCAAACAGGAAGTTTGGCCAGAGAAGAGTTGGTCGAAGGAAGCGTGACAGCCAACATGTAACCACAAAGAAACTGCAAGTAAAGAAACCCGCTCTCCTTCTCTTTTTGCACTTCAGTTTAGTTCTGCAGATCTTAAAAGTTAGTTGTTTGTCTTGTGTCTTAGTTCGTTTTGTTTCATTTACTCAGTAGTGCTGGTAACTGTAATGTTAGACTATTAAAGAGCTGCATCTAGCTGTGTTTGTTTTCCATGTTTCCTCAATTCATTTTGAAAGTCTAATTGGCAACAATAGGTCACTGTGAACATAGTTTAAGAGCAGAAACAGAAGCAAACACAGTGCTGACTGAAATCCACCTTGAGAGTGTTCTCCAGTGACCCCAGCGAGAAGTGGCAGCCCGACTCCACCGATCAAACTCTGCGAGCATCCTGGAAGGGCTTCATTCTCCACCAAGAGGTCAGCATAAGCCAGCTGGAAGCCTACCTGGACCTCTCTGGTCCACTCAGATGTTCTTCGGCTTTTGACCACCGGACCGTTCTTCAGCGCACCCGAGTAGGCGGCTTCTCGTCCTCAGCGCGGTGCCCAGATGCCCAGGTCTTAGACTCACTCACACTGCTCTTTTGTGATCTCAGTCTCACTGATTTTGCTCTGCCTTTTATCCAAACTTAGGCCAGTTTTACGCTAGCATTTAGTATTGTTCTGCTCGCTGCTCCAAAGCCACATTACTAAGAGAATCAGCTAATTTCAGTACGTTTGTTCGATGAATTCAATACCTCTGGATACTTTTCATAGCTAGGAATCAAATATTTAGTGCCTAAATACCTTTGTAATCCATTATTTCGTGCTTATATACCTCTAGCTGCATCACCATGTGGTATGGCGCCTGCACCGTGTCCTGCCACAAGACACTCCAGCACATCGTGAGAGCAGCTGAGAAGATCGTTGGCACCTCCCTCCCCTCCCTCCAAGAGATATACAGCTCCCGTCTCACCCGAAAAGCCCTCTGCATGGCTGGTGATCCCACTCACCCACTACACAGCTTCCTCAGCCTGCTGCCATCAGGCAGGAGACTGCGGAGTCTCCGGGCCAGGACCAGCAGACTGGGGGACAGCTTCATCCACCAGGCTGTCAGGATGCTGAACTCTCTCCCTACTTTGCCCCCCCCTCCTTCTGCACACACACAGAGTTTGGACCCAAACACAGGTTCCTGACCCCACTCCCCAATACTGAACTCTGACAGTACTGGTCAAACACAGCTTCCTGACCCCCACTCCCCAATACTGAACTCTGACAGTACTGGTCAAACACAGCTTCCTGACCCCCACTCCCCAATACTGAACTCTGACAGTACTGGTCAAACACAGCTTCCTGACCCCCACTCCCCAATACTGAACTCTGACCTTCTCAGGGACTGTTACGCACCCATCACTTTCTGTTATGCACTCATCCCTTTAACAGCGCCATAAGCTCAGTCTAATTGCACTGCTGTTTATATTTGCACTATTTTTACCCACAGACCTTAATCTGTTTGTGCCTCATGTCACTTTAGTGTTAATTTCAGGACCTTCTGTATTTATATTATTTTTTATTATTCTATTTTTCTACAATTAGTTTATTATTATTTTTACGATTAATGTTTAGTGTTTTTTGGTGTCTATTTAAATTCACACTTTTCCTGTTTACTGTCTATTTAATGTTATTGCTACACCATGGGGTCTGAGAGTAACGCTGGATTCCTCACTGGAATTTGATTAAAACATCAATGTCTTACAGTAAATGGGAAATTAGTTGCTTTAGAGGCCTTGTCCCTGCTACAACATACGCATAGCACACACAAAGCACAGTCAGTGCAGTGCAGTTTTCCAGTTTGCCTTGCAGTGGTGTTGTTGACAGGGTTTTTCTCTTTAAAAATGCAGACGATCCAAAAGTAATATAAGAAAAAAGTAAATTTACATCAGAGAAGTACATGCAGGGTGTTGTGAGGCAAAATAGTCCCAACGGAAACTTTTTTTAAGATTCACTATTATATTACTATGATCAATATTACACATAAAACTCAGAAGACGTGTAGCTTCACTGGTGGTTTTGGATAAAAATGTCTATATTTGTGTTGTAGACATTGTGACACCTGGTTCCTATCACCACTGTAAAGAAACCCGAGTCGGTACATTTCTCTACAACAAACTGTTTCACATCAAACCAATCTAAATGAAACCAGTGGTAGTTCGAAGTGCTTTACAGACAGGTGGTAAAACTTAACAGTAATAGAAGAAATTATGAGTGTTCATTTAAAACCATATAAAAAATGACACAGATCAAATTTGAAAGAAAAATACCAAGGAAAGGTAGAATTGTATTTAAATGCTAATTGGTCATACATTTTCAAATTTCTAAAAGTGAGCACTGAGCTCATTTTATGGAAGGTATTTACAGGTCAGTATCTGCAGATCTAAGATCATAAACAGACACTCTGTGATGTAAGCAAAGCTTCAAGGTCTTTCAGAGCCATAAAAACTAGTAGCAGAACTTTAAAATCTATCCTAAAAGATACAGGCATCTAGTCAGAGCTAATATGAGCCCTGGGTTTTGTTGTTGTTTGGACTCATGCTGCCAAATTTTGTACGAGTTTTAGTGGCTGTATTGTTTTCTTAGCAAGTCCAGTAAGAAGATCATTACAGTGATCAAGTCTGCTATAACAAATGTATCACTCTGCATCGCTCAGAGATAGAAAAGGCTGAAATTTAGCAACATTTCTCAAATGATAAAAAGCCACTTTAGTCATTGGAACAATAGTTTTTAATAACTCCAATTAACTCATAATTACAATTAATTCTACATAAATTGTTAGGTAATGAAAACCTTTGTAGCTGATTTATAAAAGAAATATTACCTTATATAATAAATGAATTAAGTACATTTCAGCATAATTTTTGTTGTATAAGCTTTGCTTCTACTGGCTTGAGGGGCCTTCTTCTCCATCTGAGGGGCTGAGCTGGGCTGCCTCCTTCCCTGCTGTCCAGTCTGTCTGTCTATTCTGGTGGAGGATCACTCTGCCTGCAGCTACTGTAGCCAGAAGAAACATCAGAGCAGCCAGACCAACTCCACCAAACATCAGCACTGTCTCTACCACACTCACTCCATCGAGAGAGAGAGAGAGAGAGAGAGAGAGAGAGAGAGAGAAACAGAAGGGGGGGGGTATAACAGAAAATTTAGACTGCCATAGTAGAGGGATGGATGCAGGATATTGTGAGGCAAAATAGTTACCAAAGAAAACAATTATTACAACAATTATTATCCCCGTCATCAACATTACATATAAAAGTCAGAAGACTCGTGTAGGTTCACCAGTGGTTTTGGACAGTAAATCAAACATCTGTATTTGTGTTGTAAACATTGTGACCCCTGGTTACCATCACCACCACTGTAAAGACTTCAGAGTCTTTACCATGAACCTTTTCACACTAAACCACTCTGAATGACTCTGCTTACATCTCAATGATTCAATTATGCAGACTTAAAAAGTGGGAATTGCCTTTTAACTTCAATCATGTTTTTTTTCGGGTTCTTCTGATTTATAGAAACTAGATTTGATGAAAGTAGAATACCCTTTTAATTCAGAGAAAAAACAGAGAAAATGTACCTGTAGGTGTTGTGGTATATTCAGTGTGCAGGAGGCTGGATGCAGTAGTTAATAATGCATCTGAAGACACAGCTGTGATCCACAAAACCATTATTAGGTGATATACAATTAACATATCACAAATTAACCATTTTTTTGCAAAGCCTAAATGTGCTTCTGCTGTTCTGCGGGTGTGTTTTGTCCATTCCAACCTTGTTCACAACCGTTGGAAAAAGTATCTTGATATTTTTTGCCGTATTGTCCAATCATACTTGAAATTAATTTCTACTCACCTTTTAATGGCGCAGGATTCACTGTGAGATTCACTACAGGAGCAGAGTTACAGTAGTAAATCCCAGAGTCAGAGAGAGAGACGCTCTTTATTATGAGTGATAAACTACTAACTACACTGTATCTGTTTTCTGGATCAGGTCTGTGTTTCTGGGTGATTTCTCCATTTTCAGCACTGAGGATATCTGATCTTCCTCCATCAGTGTCTTGACTCCAGATCACTTTACCCTCATTTATACAGGGCAGGATGACGTCTCTCCCCTCTGTTTCACTCTGACTGATGAAGGCTGACAAAACAAATATGCAAATATTATTTGTGATACAGATTTCTTAAATTCTTCAACGCCTTTATTTGTATATATATATTATATATATATATATATATATATAGTAACAATATTGTACGATTATTTAGCTTTCTAGACATTTTTTTTTATTTTTATCCAATTTTCTCTCCAATTCCACCCACTAGTTAGGACTCCCACAATGCTGTCAACGCTAGGAGGGTGAAGGCTAACACAGACTTCCTCCGAGACCTGTGAAGCGCCACTGCATCTTTTCGAACTGCCGTTCACACAATGTCATTGGACAGCTGAACGCGCTGGGAGAAAAAGCGCCAACCGACAGTTCTGTTGCATCAGCTAACAGACGCCTGCACTGACTAGCATCACGTTGAGTGATGGGGGAGAAGGAGGTGCCATCCTACCCAACCAGAGAGCGAGGCCAAATGTGCTCTGTAGGACTCCTGGCCATGGATGGCTGTAGCATCACCAGGGATCGAACTCACGATCACCTGATGATATGGCCAGCGTTTAGACGGTTGCACCACTCAGGAGCCCTTTCTAGACATTTTTACTTGTTATAAGTAATTTTACCTAAAGACAGTGTCCTTTTCCACTGGCAGATCATTTTGTTTAAGACATGCAGTACTGTGCAAAGATCCTTAATTTATTTAATCTTCACTGACAACAGCCATTAGGTACAAGTTTTTCACTTTTCCGCATCAGCAAAAAAAAAAGCTTCTTGACAGCTACACATCCTTTCAGACCCATAGTGCTGAGTCGTCTTCTCACATTGGAAGGATGGACAGAAACACCTGTGGATGTTTTCAGATCTGAAGCAGCTTGATTTTCTCCTCTCTCTCAAAGATGAAAGCTTTGCTGTTTCTCTGATGGCGACGGTGGCCTACCAGGTCTTCCAGGTGGTTGTTAGGAGCCCCATTTTCTTTATAGCTTTTAATCATTTTTTGTTTTCACTTATTTTTCTTTGGCATTCTCCTTCCTTATGCAAGTGGATTATCCAGATGTGATAAATATTTCAGTTATAAATGGTAAAATCCAAGAATTCAAGAGACACAGCTTCTACAGATAAACCTTCCATACATACTACCTTTTCTTCCATCACATTTCTACAGAGGTTCTTCTTCTTGGTCCCAAAGCTGCTTATTACACACCAGGGGGTTCAACCTGAGTGAGAATCGACCTCATGACCCTTATATTCATAGTTGAGAGTGCTAAGTGTCGAAAATAGGGAATGGGCTCATGCACAGAGCAACTAAGAGCAACTTGAGAGAACACTCAAGAGATTTCTTTATATATATATATATATATATACATAATATACTTTTGCTGGGAATCAATCATTACCTCTTCTACTAGGAACAGCTCCCAAACCAGCCTTTCGTTCCCTCTTGAAGGCTCTAATGAGCTCTGGGTTTTAGATGTGCCTGGCCAGTACCCAGCATCAACAATTAGGGCCTCTGGAATGATTGGCTCTGGAGAGGGACTGGCAGATGATGTAGGCCACTGCCTGGAGAGTGCGTCGGGCTTGATGTTTTTGGAGCCCAGTTGGTAAGAAAGAACAAAATCAAACTGACTGAAGAACAATGCCCACCTGGCCTGATGGGGGTTAGGCTGCCTGGCCTGCTGGATATAAGCCAGGTTCTTGTGATCCATTCAGACAAGAAGGGAATTTTGGTGCTAGCAACTCATGATCCCCAACATCATAGTTGCACTTGGGTCGGGCGAGCCAGTAAGAATAAAATGCGCAGGGGTGGAGTTTATGGTCCTCCCTGGAACGCTGAGATAGGACTGCCCCTACGCCTACAAGAGAAGCATTGACCTCTACTATAAATGATATGCTTGGGTTGGGGAGACGTAGTACCAGAGCAAAGATCAAGAGGCGTTTGAGTTTATCGAAGGCTTTCTGGGCTTCTGTGGTCCACAGAAAACACCCCATGCCCTTCTTGGTCAGGTCAGTTAGCAGGGTGGCTACCATAATAAAATTCCATATGAACCTACGGAAAAAGTTGGCAAAGCCCAGAAAGCTTTGAACTAGCCGAACTGATGTGGGTCGTAATTTTCACCAGGTTCATGCTCAGCTGGTTATTGGATACCACAAGCCCAAGATGGACTTCTCGAGCTTTACATAGAGGTTGTTCTCCAATAAAAACTGGAGTACCCGGCGAACGTGAACTTGAATGAGAACCTTGTTTATGAAATTTTGGAACACAGCTGGAGCATTCATCAGCCCGAGCAGTTTGACAAGGTACTTGTAATGGCCAGTGAATGTGATAAATGCTGTCTTCCACTTGTCTCCATGATCAAATTAGATTATAGGCACTGCGACAGTGCCTCAAAGCCTGCGGCAGTGCCTTAAAGGCCGAGGTCATCAGAGACAGCAGGTAATGGTTCCTGACCGTAATTTTATTAAGTTCCCTGTAATCTAGGCAGGGTCGAAGGCCGGCATCCTTCTTCCCTACAAAAAAAAGGCTCCTGCTGGGGAGGATGAATTAAGCCCAGAGCTAGTGCCTCCTTAAATGTACTCCTCCATGGCCGCTTTCTGAGGCCCCCAGAGGGAGAACAGCCTTCCTCGAGGGAGCGCTAAGGGACGAACCACCTGGTGGACAATAGGGGTTGGTCTCAAGTGCAGAGCAACTAAGGGTCTGTAACCGCCATACCATATAAGCCAGGGAGCCCTCTGCTTTTTGGATGTTCCAGCAAAAAGCCTTAACAAGCTTCAGTTAGTCCAGAATGTTGTAGCCAGAGTCCTTACAAAAACAAGTTTGACCATATTAGTCCAGTTTTTTCAAACCCACACTGGTTGACATGGTTATGGTGAACTGGGAGTGCTGGTGCTGTCACCCTACTGCTTTCAGGTTTGTCGACGGTGGAGCGGAGGGGCGCCTACATCTCTTATGTCTCTCTTAACTTCTGGCTCTCCCTTTTAGTGAGGCTGTAATAACTAGACCTGCAGGAGTATCTGCTGCACTCTGTTAACACTGCATAATGTAATCAGTCTGTCTTCAAAGAACTGTCTGTGTGTTTCATCAAGATGAACAGCTGCCCATCCTGTGCATCTGATGCTGTTGCTTCATCTGCCTTGATCAGGTGCCCACTGCTGACCTGCTTTCTGGACCAGTCTGACCACCATGGAGCTTCCTGCTGTACAACACTGTGTATTAACTGACCCTTCTTATAATACTGCTTCATTTTTTAATCATAGACATTGTTTTTCCTGCTTTTTCCGTTGTTCGTATCTTATACTAATAGTCAAACCTCATTCTCTGCTAATATTGTTTGCTATCCGGTGTCGACCAGAGGAGGATGGGTTCTCCTTTTGAGCCTTGGTTCCTCTCAAGGTTTCTTCCTCTTGCTGTTAGGGAGTTTTTCCTTGCCACTGTTGCCATAGGCAATGCTCATGGGGGCTTGGACCTGGATTGTTCTGTAAAGCTGCTTTGTAACAACATCTGTTGTAAAAAGCGCAAAATAAATAAACTTTGACTTGACAACAGTTTTTCAGGACATTTAAACAAAAGTCCAAAAAAGTGGAGACTTGTAGATAAAACCTTCAGCAACAGCTTTAAAATAACCGACTGTAAATTCTATGTAATTGAAAACAAAATTTACAGTTTTACCAAGAATTAATTCTAAATACTGATGCAGGCTGGAACATGTTTAATGCATGTTCAGTGTAACTGGACTCTTCAGTTCAGCATCTAAGAACCAAAATTCAGTCACAAAAAAAACAATAGAACCACTTTGCTTTCTCTTTTTACCCTTTTCTTCTTGTTTTTTGTATTTTTCTTTTGTCTTTATAAAATGCCGGTACCAACAAGTGTGCCTGTTTGGCACTGATTACACCTTGGTATTCTAGGATTTTGAGTCTCCCGGAGTAACAGTGCCTCGCCACCGTCGCCTTCTGCTGGCAGCCGGCAGCACAAGCATGCCCTTTACAGGTATAACTGTTTTGACCAAATCTGTGTTATATAATAAATAAAAATCAGATATTCATTATTAGTTGTTCAGATAAGATTTTACGATCACTCTGACAGCAAAGCTAAAGTAAATTTACTTTGTGGGGCTAAAACACATTTTCATGATGTAGTTTTCAGACTTACGTGGTGACACAGTCAGTTTCACTGTAGCTCCACTGCAGTAGTATCTACCAACGTCTGACTGCGAGAGTCTGAATATAATCAGTGCCTGATCTTTTCTTGAGTCATAGTGCCTGTCCGGATCAGCGATGTGTTTGGTCGTCTCTCCATTATGAGTGGTCAGAATGTCCACTCTCTGTTCATTGATGTCTCTGCTCCAGGTCACTGTACCATTAGCTAGGTTTCCACAGCGAAGGATGGCGCGGCTTCCCTCTGCCTGACTTACATGTGGAATATCTGATAGGAAGAACATCAGAGATGTGAAGTATAATGTATTTCTTCCATTTAAATGATGCACTATATTACTGAACTGTACAGACTCTATTAGCACAGATAAAACTACAGTTCCTGCCAGAGATCTGCTGCATTTATCATGTTTCTTACACTGAAGATCAAACATAGACTGTAGCAGGAAAATCCATTAATTATATACAGATTTCAAAAAAGCAGCAGGAATCTTAAAACGATTAGATGTAAAATTCACAGCTGTTACAGCATTTAAGTTTCTGAACACTGTGATTTTGATAAATCATTAAAAGGTAAATTTATCTTTGAACAAATTCAGAATCAAATGTTTTAGAAGGATATAGGTTCAAGTGCATGGAGTACAAAATTAATTAAAGTAAATAAATACAATAATCAATAGCTTAATAGTAATACATAAATTATTGTAAAATAAAAGGTGAGTATAAATAAAGAAATGGCAAAACATATCTCTGAATAAAATAATGCAATTATTCAATCATATATAAAAGCTTAACTATTTGCTCCCCAAGTACACCCCAGTCATCAACCGTGTGAAACCCACAACAAGATGTGAGAGGATCTGGATGGAAGGGGCTGACTCCTTTCTTCAGCAACAGTTCCAGCACACAGACTGGAGTGTATTTGCAGCCCAGGCCATCAAAGACTCTAATACCAACATTGACATCTACACCAACTCTGTCCTGGATCATGTCAACAGCTGTGTGACAACTCACAAAATAATAAATAAGGACTTTACCAAAATAATAAAGAATTTCTCTGTTCATCCAGGGCTTCTGATTCCCTAATGTGTGCCAGTGCCAAAGCAGTCGACTGCTTCAGTTCTGAATGATTTCTGCCCTGACACGCTCACCTCCATCATCTCCAAGTGCTTTGAAAGACTAGTTCTTTTTCAATTGAAGTCCTGTTTGCCTGTTGCACTGGACCCAAACCAGTTTGCCTACCGCCTCAACAGGTCAACAGAGGATGCCATTTCCACGGTGCTCCACACTGTACTGACCCACATGGACTGTCAAAACTCATATGTCAGAATACTGTTTATTGACTTCAGTTCAGCATTTAACATGGTGATCCCCTCCAAGCTGATCTTAAAGCTCGGTATCAGCACATCTCTGTGCAATTGGATTCTGGACTTCCTGACTAACAGACCTCAGTCTGTTAAGTTAGACAAATTCTTCTCCTCCCCCCATCACCCTGAACGCCAGCATTCCACAAGGCTGAGGGCTGAGCCCTCTTCGGTGCTCCCTGTTCACCCATGACTGTGTTCCCGTTTATGGCTCTAACTCCATAATCAAGTTCGCGGATGATACCATGGTGATAGGTCTGATCAGAGGTGACAGTGAGATGGCCTACAGGGACAAGGTGCAGCACCTGAAGGCATGGTGTGATGTCAACAAACTGGCGCTCAACACCCAGAAAAAAACCAAGGAGATCATAGTGGACTTCAGGAGATGTAGGAGACAGGCACATGTCTGGCTTCAAGTTCCTTTGTATTCACATCTCAGATGATCTCACCTGGTCCTTCAATTCCTCCATCATGGTCACTGGTGAACTTTTACTGCTGTACCATTGAGAGCATACACACAAATTGCATCTCAGTGTGGTACAGCAACTGCTCCGCATCTGACCGCAGAGCGCTCCAGCGGGTGGTGAAAGCTGCCCAACGCATCACCGGTGGCCAGTTACCCTCCATTGAACATTTCAGTTACCCTCCATTGAACATACCCTCCACAGAACATTTTCCACAAGCGCTGTCTGAGCAGGGCAAGGAACATCATCAAGGAAGTTTCTCATCCTAACCATGGACTTTTTACCCTCTTCCTATCTGGCAGGTTTTACAGAAGCCTCTGCTCCTGCACCAGCAGGCTCAGGAAGAGCTTCTTTCCTGAGGCTGTGACCCTGCTGAACTCCACACCGTCACTTTAACTGCATCTTTGCACTCACTGCATGGTTACTGTACTTTATATCCTAGTATTATTGTGTAACAGAAAAAATAACACTTTATTTTAAGTAAACCTATTTTAGTAGAATTCGCCAGAATTAGTTCTAAAAGAAAATACAATTGAATGTACCTCTGGATGAGCCACGTGAAGCAACATGAAGCACTGCTCTTTTGAGCATGCAGGTCGGTTTATGAGCTGATGTGTTCAGACTGACGTCACCTACAGATCACTCTTAAAAGATACTGTGAACAGCCGAACAAAAAAATTCGATTTGGTGAGAAAATCAGATTTGGGTCACTTTTACCTGCTGTGTGAACACAGCCTAATTAAATTATTTTTTTTCTTACTTTTTTTCTTTGTTAAATGAGTGATAACAAAGTCAAATTTTCATTGTTTTTGCAAAGGTTATGCTACATCACCTTTATTTATAGATATGTCCATATTTTTTAATGAAGAGCTAAATATTTAATGGGGTGGAAGAAGAATACACCATTACATGAACAAGAATCACAGTAGGTTCTGATGGGAGATGGGAGAGTCAGTCACATTTTTCCAGAATGACTCTGTTTGCTGAAGAAATAGGCAACGTGATGTAACATGCGTTACATACAAGCTTGAACTGCAGTCACTGCGTAGGAGAAACAGAGAGCAGTTCAGCTCACATTTTTTTTCTTGCAAACATGGAAATGTATTGTGGCACTAGCAGTAAATGATGTGAAGAAGTTAAAATAATCAAACATATGAGCTTTATTTAAAGTTAAAAGTGAAAGAAGTAGCAATATTGAGTCAGAAAAAAATGACAACAGAGTAAAACATCTTGTGTGTGCTGCTATGAGTCACCTTGGAAAGCCTGAAATGATCATTTAAAACTCAGAGGCGTCAGGTCAGGACTGAACTGCTGTCATCGTAGTGTAGGTTTCATTGTTTTTTGAATATCTTAAGAATAATCAAATGGATTTGAACACCAACATGAACATCAATGCTTTATTGAGCTTAATTTATTAACGGAGCTGGTGGACTATTTGACTGACGGACCATGTTAGCTAGATGTTAATGTTTAGTGACTTATCAAATAATTTAGAAGTTAGCTTCTTGGATTTAGTGATTTTACTAAATGACAGCCCTTACACACCTTACACATCATTTAATGTAGATATTTTGACATTTTGAAATTACTGTGAAACTAAAAAACGACTCCACAGGGACTGAAGTGTATTAATATTTCAGTCTACTTACCACAGTAAGTGATGTATAGATGTCCGTACAGCAGGAGACACAGTAGAAGGTTCAGCTCCATTCTCTACTGCAGGCTTCTGTTATCAGATGTCTCTATATTATTAGTGACAGGAACTTCTTCTTCTAATCTTTCAACATATTCCCCTTAAACTAGCTGTTAGCCACCTCTTGCAAAAAAGGAACCCAGTGCAAACCACAACCTACACATATGTAAAAACAGCAGTACAAAGCAAAGATGCAGCAAAGACGCAAAAGCTTTTTATTAAATCTATTTTTCCTGTTTTTAAACATCAGTCTATAACAAGGCACTTCCTGACTATTGAATGAGTATAATTTTGGAAATTATGGAAAGGAGTTCTGCAAAATTTAATTAGCATTCTTTTAAGAAAGATTACTGGTCAAACAAAATGGACTAAAATTGGCTAAACTTCATCTGTTGTCACATTTCAAACTCAGTTCATTAATGTTTCTTCAACATGATTTACTAATTGTGATTTAATTTGTCTTAAGAGTTGGTTTAAAAGTGGTCACTGTAGTATCCAGTCAGTTGAGAACCACACGTTGCATTAGAGAATACGGTAACTAGTCATGGGCAGTGTATGGTACATGATGCTTGAGTGATTTCAGAGGGTGTATTTGTTACAAATGGACACCAGAAGTTTCTAAAGATAAGCTTAAGTGCTCTATTAACACGACCAACGTCCAAACAAAAGTCACTATTTACAGTCCTGGGAAAAAAATATTAAAATAAGAGACAGCAGATCAAACACATAACAATCTACAAGTGTATGAAAATCTGAATGTCAATGCTAAACTAGCTGTCATAAAACTACATACTAGATGTAAATGCATGTGCACTTGCACTCCAATGGTAGAGCTCAATCAGAGTGAAAATTATCATAAAGTCCAAAGCAGATTTCTCTACTTTGACAATTTGCTTACACCTGTGTACGTATGGAGAGCAAAAATAAATATAAATAATACACAGGAATCTAAGTTGCACCAGAGAAAGCCCTGAATGTCTCTAAGGCTACGTTCACATTACCAGTTTGAAGTGGCACAAATCTGATTTTTGCCCTGATGTGATCCGATGTTTTCAGGGCTGTGTGGACACAAATCTGATGTTTTCAAATCCGACCTGAGCCACTTTCATATGTGGTCCTAAATCGGATACATATCCGATTCGTGGCCATGTGACCTTAATGTGACACTCAGATCAGAATTCATGTGCTTCTTTTCCACTTGCATCGTCATTCAGCGTTACCATGGCAGCAGCGTCGAACAGAAGTTAAAGCCTGTAAACGGTGGAAAAGCAGCTCATCTCACCTTTTTCACCTCCGTCTCGCTCTAATAATAAAGCTGAGAGCTGTTTGTTGATGATGCACGTGATTCATTCATGTGACGTTACTGAGTAGGATGTGCTCATGGGGGTCATTTCAGGACGCCGGTTCGTTCACATTAATGACAGATTTGCATCACTTACCTAACGAGTGTGAACCATCGTATCAGAGAGATCGGATTTGAGCAAAAAAATCGGATTTGAGCAATGAGGCTTGTAATGTGAACATAGCCAAAGGTGCTTTTTAGCCCTCTCATAATGGAAGGCGAGCCTGTGTGGTCATTTACAAACCTGTTCATAACACAACATCCATAAGGCACAAAGAAGGAATACTACAACTAGGCTTGTTACATTGTGTATTATCTTGTGGCGTCCGCACGGGCTGTGCAGCCATGGGGACTTTGGTGGGTGTGGCCATGCAAAGCAGCTCTCACATACACCACGCTCCCACATTAAAAAGACATTTGTGAGTCAATGTTGTTGTTTTACTTTACCACTCCCAGAAGGGTTCAGTCAGCCAAGAGCGAGGCAGCTGCTAGTATAGTAAGAGAACACAGTGTAAGATATCTGTGTGGTCTATTTTTAATCCTTATGCTATTGAGCAATACAAAATATCCAGGGTCTTTTGCATGTTCCCAGGTGCACCTTTATGGGCATATATATATATATATATATATATATATATATATATATATATATATATATAGTTACAATGCATATTATATACATGATAACATGATTCAGTCATGTGCAAAAGTTGGAATACCTTGTTCAGATGAGGTTTTGTTGATTTTCTAAGTGAAAATAAGGTAACACATCTTCTACAGGGAAAAAAAATACAAGGATTTTTTTTCTACAAGTTTTAGCGCTTCATTTCTATATATTTGCTGAATTTACTGTACTGAAATGCAATAAAACAATATAGATATTTTGTGCAATTAAAAGGACAAAAGCATTTGGTTTATGTTTTTCTTTTTAAAAGTGTTAAATTCAACAAATAAACAGTAACTGTACATTAAAATGTGCAGAAATGTGTTCTCTGTGGAGAATGTATACTTATTTTCACTTAGAAAATCTATAAAACATGCAATTTGACAAGATGCACCCAAAGTTTTGCATTATAGTATGAATTTTTCAGTAGCTACTTTGAATTCATAACCTATTATGAATCATTCAGTAAATGCAATAAATTATTCAGTGACTGTTATTAATTATTTTGTGACTACTCTGAAAAATTCAGTAACTGCTAGGAAATATTCAGTATCTATTATGACTTGTTAGTAAATACTATGAATAATACAGTAACTAATATGAGTGATTCAGTAACTTATATAAATTATTCTGTAACTATGGGAAATATTTCGCAATATCAAGCTCAAAATATGACAATAACCACCTTGCAGTTGCACAGCTGAAGACTTGTTAAATGGAAGATTGTCAAAAAATGACACTTTCAAAACTGGAACAATTTGTGTCTTCAGTCCCCAAATGAAAAGGAAAGTGTTGTTAAAAGGAAAGGTGATTTAACACAGAGGTAAACATTCGTCTGTCACAATTTTTATGGAATGTATTGAAGGCATCACATTTGAAATGAGCATTTATTTAAAAACCAATGGAGTTTATCAGGCACGACATAAAACACTGTTTTTTGTACCATTTTAATTTAATACAGGTCAAACATAATTTACAAATCACTGCTTTCTGTTTTTATTAGCATTTCACATATTATCACATATTAACATATACCATAATCTCAAAGTCAGATCCTGGAGGGCCAGAGCTCTGCATAGTTTTGCATTTTTCTGCTCTTACACAACTCATTGTTTCACCTTACTGTTTCATTATGATACTAAATCAGTGTCATTCAACTGAATCAATAAGTCACCATTCATTCCACTCAGTAATCACTTGGTCAACAGAAAAAATACTATTTAAAATCAATTAATGAAGCACACATGGAATTACAACTTGATAATGCTGAATGATTAATGGAATTACAACTTGATAATATTGAATGATTAATAATTAAAAACAAATCACTACACAGAATAATGGTGACGAACCATGCACTGACAAATGTTTTTGTAAAATTAAAAGAAATAATTAACAGACTAAGTTTATAACAGAGAAATCTGACTCACTTAAATGCATATTTCAGTGGATTCAGAGTGGTTTGATGTAATATGGTTCATTGTACAGAAACTACAGAAACAGACTCGGATTTCTTTACAGCTGTGGTGACAGGAACCAAGTCACAAGGTCTACAACGTAGAATATAGTCATATTATTTACAATCCAAAACCAGTGAACACATCTTCTGAAATGTTATAGGTAATGTTTACATAATGGTCAAACCAAATGGGTGCCTTGATGTTCATGAACTGAATTAATAGACTATCCAGGATTGATACAGTAATGAACTAAATTAATTGAACATCCAGGATCAATAAAGTTTTGAAATGGATTAATTGGCTAACCAATTGGCTGATCAATAGTTATGAACTACATTTATTGGCTATCAAGAATCAGTACATTCATAAATTGGGTTAACTCTCTATCCAGGATCAATAAGGTCATAAACTGGATTAACTGACTATCCAGGATCAACAAGGTGATGAACTCTGTTAACTAGTTATCCAAGATCAATACATAATATGTGTAACTATCTGACCAGGATCACTGCAGTCATAAACTGGATTAACTGGCTACTCAGGATCAATTAGGTCATGAACTCTGTTAAATAGTTATCCAAGATCAATATAGTCTATAATATGCCTATCTAGGATCAATACAGTGATGAAATGGATTAACTGACTATCCAGGATATATATCGTCATGAACAGGATCACCTGACTCTCTGGAATCAATTCAGTCTATAATAGAATTAATAGGCTATGCAGGATCAATACAGTTATAAACTGGATTAACGAACTATCCAGGGATCAACACAGTCATGAACTATATTATTGTTTATCCAGGGATAAACACAGTTGTGAACTAGATGAATTGATTATCTATGATCAATACAGTCATTAACTGGATTAACCAACAATCCAGGAATGGATGCAGTCATGAACTGGATAAACTGACTATCCAGGATTAACACAGTCCTGAAATGTATTAACTGACTATCCAGGATAAATAAAGTCTCTATTCCCTGGGTGATCAATTAACTGGATTAAGTGATCACCCAGGATTAATGCAGTCAGTAAGTGGATTAACAGGCCATCCAAGATCAATACAGTCATGAACTAGATGAATTGACTATCCATGATCAGTACAGTCAGATACTGGATTTACTGACATTCCCGGATCAATGCAGTCTTGAACTGGATTGAATGACTCTCCTGGATCAATGCAGTCATGAACAGGATTGAATGACTGTCCAGGGTCAAGATAGCCATGAACTGGATTAAATATTTATCCAGGATCAATGCAGTCTGTGATACAATTAACTGGCTATCCAAGATTAATACAGTCATGAACTAGATTAACTGACTATCTAGGATCAATACAGTCGTTAACTGTATTAACTATCCAGGGCCAATAAAGCCATGGAGTGGATTAAGTGATTATCCAGGATCAGTGCAGTCAGATACTGGATTTACAGAGTATCCAGGATCTATGCAGGATGGAATGACTATCTAGGATCAATGCAGTCATGAACCTTCACTCTGTGAAAGACTGCACGATCAAATAGTGCAACAATTTAAGAATAACATTTCTCAATTTAAAATAGAAAAGAAATTTGCCTTTTCA